TCAATGCCTGAGAGGAAGTGTTGCCACGCCACGGGAGCGACTTGTTTGGGCCTCCCCCACAGATTGGTCCAGCTACAGGAATCATCAAAAAACTGGGCTTTGGTTACCCGCCCGGCTTGATCAAGCACTGCATGGCATCTCTGGGGGCGACACCTGCTTCAGTTCAGTTTGTGGAATAGGCGGATTCAGTTTAGCTTTGCAACCAGCATACCAGATTGATACACTAGCAATGGGAAGAATCAGCAGACGAAAAATATTTAACCCATTTTATTTTTAACTGGTCACTATTTTACGGGAATTTAGTCCGCTTAAATAGAAATTGTTTTTTTTTATTTATTGCTTTAGATTGTTTCGGCCTACTTAATACGACTTGGATGTGGAGCTTCCTTTTGTCCAAAATTTTATAAAAACCTTTATGGAGTTTTTGTCGTGTGCAACTATGCACCGAGGTATGTTAACTCAGATTGTGTTTTTTATTTTTCGGATTTTAAGAAAGGCATACTTTATTGGCTCCACTGCTTTTTGCCATAGACAAGCTGGAGATCTCTTCGGTTAATAGTTTTCTAAACCGGGCTTCTAGAAGGACGCGTTGTAGTTACCTTTATTAAATACGCAATAGTATAAAATCCATTTTTCACACTAAATTGAAGTCCCCTTTTCTAGTCAGGCTTCGGCTTTTGTGTTTACCAAGTTTAAGGAAAGATTCTTCAATCACATGTTTATTCCTTTCTTCCTTAAGCCATTACTCGTTTTTATTTTTACTTTCTTACCAAACTGACCAGTATGGCATTTGGCTAAAGCGCGTTAATTTCCCATAACAGCTTAGTCCATCATTTTCTCGTTAGGCAATCATTCTTATGCATCTAATAAAACTGAGCTCATCTGTCAATACAAATAAGGCTCAAAATCTCAGTAATAGGAAATAATTCAATCGAAAATGTAAAAAAAATTTCTTTAAAAATGAAAATCTTAAAAAGCTTTATATATACTTTCTGCTTTAGAGAAAATTTCAATTTCTATTATGAAAGGCCATATC